CAATTCCTTCTTAAAACATCAAGCGACAGTTCTCTTTATTTGAGCAACCTGTTCCTTCCCAGTAAGTCTGTTTACGTAAGAAGATGTTTTTCTCCAATGAATGGTAGCCTTATCATTATGGAAGGTAGTTCATTGATGAAATTTGATATTCCAATGAATGGTAGCCTTGTCATTATGGAAGGTAGTTCGTTGATGGAAATTTGTTTCTCCAATGAATGGTAGCCTTGTCATTATGGAAGGTAGTTCGTTGATGAAAATTTGTTACTTTCATTGAATGGTAGTCTCGTCATTATGGGAGATAGTTCGTTGATGACAATTGTTTTTCCCAATGAATGGTAGCCTTGTCATTATGGAAGGTAGTTCCTTGATGAAAATTTGTTACTCCAATGAATGGTAGCCTTGTCATTATGGAAGGTAGTTCTTTGATAAAAATTTGTTACTTTTAATGAATGGTAGTCTCGTCATTATGGGAGATAGTTCATTGATGAAGATTTTTTTCCCCAATGAATGGTAGCCTTGTCATTATGGAAGGTAGTTTGTTGATGAAAATTTGTTACTCTAACGAATGGTAGCCTTGTCGTTATGGAAGGTAGTTCGTTGATGAAAATTTGTTACTTTCAATGAATGGTAGTCTCGTCATTATGGGAGATAGTTTGTTGTTGAGTTTGGATGTACTTCAATGATAAAGAAAGTTCGTTGAAAGATCCTTATAGCTTGTATTTTTACCCTTTCCAGGTGAAACATCTTGGTTAAAGAAGAAACTGAGACCAGTTCGTGGCTTATAGTCAGGATCGAGGGAAAGTTTATCTGATTCTCCATCAAATGGTATCACTTCGAGGAAGTTTCGCAAGAGAAGTTTGTTGAGAAATCTTTACAAGTGGTAGTCTCTTTATTTGATATAGCTTGTATTTTTACTTGTTCTAAGTAGAACGCCAGGATTTTGGGAAGTTCGTTATTACTCTTTGACACATCACCTTCAGTAAAAGTTGGTGCATTCTCTTTTCTCCACCTTCAGTAAACGTCGGTGTATCTTCTGTTTCTTTATCGTTAATAAAAGTCAGTATTGTCCTATGTTTTTTTCTACCTCCATTTGGGTAGTTCATTACCATTCTTAGGCAAGATTAATCTCTTTCTCCTCGTCGAACCTTACTCCGATTGAGTCGAGTTGTTTCCAGCTATAAGTGCTAATGCCAAATCTTTGATTACCAGGCATAAGCATTGATACCAAGCATTCATTTACTAATCTAGGTGTTGATGGTTATCATCGTCTTTGAGCCAATATTCTCTTCATTGTTCCTGTTTTTGCTTTGCTGGTTAGCGGTTGCCGATCCCCTGTGTTGATGTTACTCTCTTTTTGCTATCTCCTCTATAAGTGGATAGTTCACAACTATCGGTTTATTATTGTCATCCATTACTTTTCCCTCAGTTTTTGAGTCTATGGTATTTGGTCTATTCTCTATACCTTACTCCAGTAAAGTCAAGTCTTCTTTTCCCCAGCGGAGCCGATTTATCTCCAATAGATTCAAATTTCTATCCCTGGAGTCGTGTTGTTCTCCAGAGGTTTATTATCCTGGTTGAATTCTTTTTGTTAATTTGTTGATTTTACTGTTGCTTCTCCAGTCTGTGTGTCTTGCCCGTCTGCATGAAGTTTATATGTTACATCCATAATCATAAGCATCACATAGCATCTTACAGCCAAAAATAGGGCTTATTTTATATTTAAGTATCTTCAATCGCGTCAAAACAAAGATTTTAATCTTCGTATCTCCGGATAGAAGACACTTAAGTAAGGCCAGCTGTTATACCCCAATTTTCCCCCTAAGATCCCTCACCATACTCTGTACATCTCACACATAACATTGGTCTCATGGTTATAAGATCGAAGAGCCGTGGCATTATGGTTTCTCTCTCTGAATTGAGGTTGCTATCTTACTCAAAATTGATTCACCCAGTGCTCTATCATTCTTGGTACGAGATTAGGGTTTTGATTCCTCTCAATGCCTCAACTCATATCCTCATCATCATGTATCCAAATCAAGAGAATTGGGGTTTCCTCCTAATTGTTTTCACCAGAAATTATTCTTTTCAAGAAGTTTAGAGGATTGAATCAACATCTTATTCTCATTATGATACTTATAAGTGGATTAGGTTTTTTTTATCCAGGGTGGTGGAGTTTGTCAACATTTCAACTGAAGATCATCGGATTTCATACTTCAAGTCTTATATCTTGTCTTCCATGTGTTCCCCCACAGTTCTAATTTCGTTGCAAGATTGTTGGTTATCGGGCTAGGATGTCTTTGGGGTTTAAAGAGCAAAAACGTGAATCCTGACACGAGGTGTAAAATTGTGAATTCTTTGGGTGTCAAATTTTTTTAGAAGAGTTCTTTTGGATAATGTTTACTTTTATGTTCCTATTGAGTGGTTGAAGTATGGACTAAAGTCACTGGTCATTCAATTGAGATAAGTTGTTTCAACTGTAAGGTATATAGCTTCAAGATTGAAAGCTTCATCCAAATATGCTATGAGTTCAATATGACCAGGGTATTCAAGGTTTTGGTTATGGTTTTGCTATGGCATTGACCTTGATCTGTCACAAAGTAATTCAAAAATGCAAGATTAAACATTCATATATGTGGATGTCTTGGATAAAGTAAGTTACAAGACATACATCATCACTTAAAGGATTCCAAATTAAACTCTTCAAATGTCACAGTGCCATTGAAAAAAATCAAGAGGAAAGATATTTGACTTGAGAGGACAATTATTCTGGATTTCTGGGATTTATCATTGAATTAAAAAGGGGTTATAGAATGTTCTATCCCATAGGCCTCACAAAATCATTATGAACACATCACATTGCACAAGGAGAATTACATAGTAATATCATAAAACACCTAAGGATCTAAGCATCTGAAGATCTTTATGTCCTCTCCATGCTAAGACCTTCATGAATTGTCATCCTCTTATCCACAGTTCAAGCTTCTTGTCTTAAAGATGATTCTCCATGCTATCTCCATGTGCTCAACTACCTTGGAACATGCTTAAATATGACACCATGATTAATCTGCAATAATTCCATTAGTTCAACATTCTAACATCCATATGTAATACAAGGCCAGTTAGATTTCAAGTTCATAACACTTACCCAAGTTCACTACCTAGATGGTATACCAGATGCAAATTTACATCAGCATCAAAACCTGCACAGTTCTCACACAAAACAGGACATAAAACAGAAGATGAAGTATTAATCAGGAGCTGATTGATAAGGATGATAAATTGGATACCAGATCTCGTAATCAACTTGCCATGTTTTCTTCGAAGAAATCCTTGAATTAAGCGGAGGGCAGTAGCGACCAGTTTAGTTGAATCTGTAGCTGAAACAATGTTAGCTATCGGCGATGGAGCTAATGATGTTGGAGTGCTTTAAGAATTTGATATCGGGGTTGGTATAAGCAACGTCAAATATACAGCAGAATGATGAACGAACCCTTTAGCGCCTTACTGATTTTCTTTTTCTGCACAAAGGCAATGAAGGTACAAGCCTTCGATTCAGATGGTGAAGCTTGTGAAACTAAGGGTATATGCATATTCATAACATGAGGAGTCGGTACACACATGCTAACTCAATATAAAAAGGAAGAGAGTAACAGAATTGGAAAAAATGATAACCAACAATAACATACCCCTAACTGTTTTCATTCATCAAAATAGGATTCCATCTTTTTTCTAACAGACTGAACCAATAAAAAAAACTAAAGAAAAATTCACTTTATTCAAGCCAGCTTGCATCAAAAAAGAAAAAAACAATCACCCAGTTCAAATTCAACTTACAGTCGTAGTGTTGAACTAACCTTGTTAAAATCAACTTCTAATAGTTTCATAAGTCTTCAATTCTTGTGACTTTATTCAGAATACGGTTGGCCTGCAAAAAAAAAGGGAGAAGGAATTAAATCAGGAGGTAAAACTCAAAAAACGAAATAAAAGTCAGAAGTTGTAAGGTAGAAGGCATCAAGTTATAAGAGAAGAGAGTAACAGAATTGGAAAAAAATGATAACTAACAATAATAGACTCCTAACCGTAAAAAAACTGTCTTCCAACTAACTTCCTAACGGAAGCCTAACAGAAATCATAACAAACTTGGAAAGGGGGAACTCATATAAGGGGGCTAACAGAAAAAAGAGGGGAATTGGGGATCACGGTGGACAGAAAATCACAAAAATACTCACCTATGAGATTCTATCTTCGAGGCTTGAATTCTCATCTTCATCTTTAACCTTCCATTCTCTTTTTCATCAAAATCCTTGATTCTCTCTTTCATCTGGAATCTTCACACTCTTCTTCATCTTCATCCAGTGAAAAACTAGAAAGAAAGCTTCTCGATACGCCCTCTGAATTTAGTGTAGCATTGTCATCCTCTATCACAATCTTCATCAATTATGTATAACCGTGATCCATTCACCATATCTCATAGCTTCCACAATCTGTAATCGTCAGTTTCTTCCTGCATCAGCATCAGAGCTTCAGCATTATCAATCTTCAATCATAACAGTGCTTCAAGTCCAACAACCACATTGATTCAGAAATCACACAAGAAGTAGAATAGGAAAATCAAAGGCAAAAATGTGAAAACTTGAATAGATCCTTACCTCTAGTTTTCTTGATTTCAACGTCGTTTTGAGCAAAGCATATCCGATTGGGGATTCTTCTTTGTCTATCCTTTAATAATTTATGTTTTGGAGGTCACCGTTGATTCCGCAGCGGAGAGGTTTGCTAAGCAAGATCGAAGACGCGCCTAAGGACCCCTGGCCAGTAAGCTCTTTTCAGTTCACCTCTGTTTATGTTCTGTGTTAGAATGTTTAATCAGAGGCGTAGAACCGACAAAAACCGAAGAGGGCGAGTATGGCGATGAATCATTGAGAATGAGACGGAGATCTGCTGTGTGTAGTGGTGTATAAAGGCAAAGAATAGAAGAAGAAATCAAAAACTGAGATAGAGAGATGAAGCGAGGAAGGCGAGGCAACGTCGGATCCGCGACAGATTCACAAGAAGGAGAAGCAAACACTGTGATGGTTCTGTTTGCAAAATTGAATCTCCGACCGTCACCGCCTGAGTGGTGAGAAAGATGATTGAGGGGTTAAGGATTTGATGTGTCACATGTCATTGAAACCAAACACAGGGTATCCCTCTCTCTTGCACGTTTACTGTATTTTGGTTTCATTTTAATTCAATATCAATTAGGACAAATTGTGAAATAGAAAAAGGTTGAATTGATGGTGGGCATGGGCCGTGCTACTCCTTTTTCTAGAGGCCTGATACGTTTTTTATAACATGAAGCTTGTATGAAACTCTCTTGGACCAAGCAGATTGGACCTAGACCAAAACACCCTTTGTCCCATAAGTCTAGCGATTTTTTTATAGGTTTGATTGTTGGATAACACAAAAAAGAGGCATTATAGATTAATCTTGTGGGCTTAACGCCCTAGCATTTTATTGAAACAATACACCCTTGAAATCAGATTTTCACCCCTCTGTTTTTTTAATTTCTTACTTTTTTTTTTGGGTTTACGTTTCTGCCAATTTTCTTAATAAAAAAATTATTAGTAAATATATATATATATATATATATATATATATATATATATATATATATATATATATATATATATATATATATATATATATATATATATATATATATATATATATATATATATATATATATATATATATATATATATATATATATATATAATAATAACACAAATATATAGAATTTAGAAATTCCTAAATATTTTTTTTTAAAGTAATGAACTACAAAAATTAATAAAGTTTTTAGGCTTTTTATTTGATTTTTTTTGGGAAATTAATTCCTAATTTTTTATTACTTAAAACCTGTGAATCACCTTTGCTTGTTGAGTTGAGTCTTATGCAGGTTCGTTATTTGATATGCGGATGTGCTTGGGTTTCGATTGTGATTTAGTTTCACATCGATGAAGCTTCGACACCTATTCCGAGTATTCAATCTTTGACTGTGGTTTAGTGATGTCAGCTCGCACGAAGTATTCTGGGTTTCTTTGCTTTGGTTGCGCTTTTTGCGGATATTATTGACTGTGATTTAGTGATGTCAGCTCGCGCGAAGTATTCTGGGTTTCTTTGCTTTGGTTGCACTTTTTGCGGACATTATTGTTCGCTCGGTATTATACTGCTTCCAAGTTATATTTCCGCATTTATCGCTTTCTAGATATCATGAGAAGTAGGAAATAAAGAGCGTGCGCTAGAAGTCACTGTTTAAAGATCTGTAGCAAGCATTCTGCACTCCAGTTCTTATATGTGTTGTGCTTGTGTTTGTCTCCTTTCTTGTTGATCGATGAGTCACTCAATTTAGAAATTGAGATCACGACATCGCTCTCAGTTCATGCTCCCTATAGGATTTTATCACTTTCCTTTATTTTTTGTTGATCGATGAGTCACTCAATTTAGAAATTGAGATCACGACTTCACTCTCAGTGCATGTTCCCTATAGGATAATATATTATACTTTCTTTGGCATGCTAACTTAGATAGGATCCTTCACTGTATGATAACATTAGGTTAGAGATAGGTTAATCTCCCTTAGATGTTTTCTTCCCATTTTTGCATAATTGCATTTAAAACAAAAACTTCTTTTTCTTGGCAAATGTATAAAAAATGCTAAGCATATAAAAAATTCTTTTCATGATAAAAAAAAGAATACCAACCAATCCATTTCTTTTCTCCATTCGGCTTTTCTCTTCTAAGAGCATGTTAGCTCCTTTCCGCTATAGGTCATAAGTCTCCAAAGGTCAAGCAGTGGTGGAATGATCGAATGCGACATTGTTCATTTAAAAAATACAAACAAACAAAATATATGAGCCGAACTACGACGCTCTGATTCCTTAAAGGGGATACGTAGGCATCTGGTCACGGGGCTCAGCCGAGCAAAAATTTGTAAATACTTCCTTCTTTTCCTCGTGTTTTCTTTGCATGCATTCCCTCTGAGTTTATAACCCTTAAGCATTAGATGGAACACACCCTTTGATTAGAATAACGAGAGTGGATCCCGTAGAGTACTATGGACGTGTGGGGTGCTAATACCTTCCCCTTGCGTAATAGACTCCCTTACCCAATCTCTCGGTCGCAAGACCTTGATTTCCCCCTTTGGGTTTTTCTTCGATGATTTTTCCTTTCCCTTTCATATGGGATAAATAAATACTCGGTGGCGACTTTATTGATTTTACCGCTATACATCCGACGTCATTTTCTTCGTGATCATGTACTTAAAGGAGATAAGAAAGTAACCTTTATGGATACTCATAATCAATTTACAGACATTTTGACAAAATCGCTTTCTAAAGTACCATTCTTCAAGATTCAGAGAGAACTTGGAATTCTGAATGAACGCGACATCTAAAAGATTCATCAATACCACCTATGATCTTACATGAAGTATTCCAAAGTACATGAAATTTTCATTATAATTTGTCAAACATATCACTATATGAAATTATGTGTGTTTATTTGTTATAGCTATTTCCTTCTTAACTTATATGGTATCATTCATTTAAAGTAAAATATTTTATATGTTTCCATAGATTATGGTCTATAAGTTATGATCCATGATTTCTATATTGTTACCTTCAATTTCATCTCTTTTTTCCCTTATTTTTGATAATGTCAAAGGGGGAGAGAAAAGTATATTATTATATATGCTTGTACGCTTTGTTTTGTTTTTTTGTTTACTAACTTTTACAACAAATCAAGCAAGAAAGAGATATCAAGTTTATGGGGATATTTTTAAGTATATGGTTATGAGAGTAAGGGGGGGTTTTTGTGAACTCAAATATTTATAAAGATATCAATATTATACTTCTCAATTTTCATGGTTGTCATTATAAAAAAGGGGGAGAATATGAAGATAAGTTTCCAACTTATTTTGATGAAGACAAACTCAAAACTACCTTATCAAAGAAGGAGAAAAAGATCTATGAAGATATGACTTGGTTCAACAAGATTTTGATCATCATCTTAGGTATATGAATTTCATATCATATATATTTCTTAGTGCTCAAAATATTTTTTATCATGCATTGAAAAACTTGTTTTTTATGTTTGAACCATGTTAAATCACTTTCAAATATAATTTATTGACTTGGATAAATCAATAGATGTTGCATAAGGTTGGTTCAAATACTTAGACAATTTTTAATTTTTCAAATATTTTGTTGTTGGAAAATTGTGGCATTTGAACCCCTCGTAACAACACATATAAACCACCACAATTTGCACTGGTCTGAAATAGTTTTTTAAATTTGAAATTTGAAAAACGTTGTGAATTTGTTAAATCATGTGACCATTTAAACCAACTTAAAAAGTCCTGTATATGATTTAAATTTATGTCTTTTCATGAACCATTGTCATTCTAAACTATTGTAAACCTTCATGAAAATGTCTCAAACTTTTGCATTAATTCATAGAGGTTTCTTAGGATATACTTAAGGCAAAACACATTAGTTTTTATATCGCCTCTTTCAATCAAAATTCTACAAAACTCTCTACATAATTTTTGATCTGACCTGATCAGAAGGTTTGGACCGTCACGGCTTACTCCGAGCTGAAGGCTTTATGAACGAGGAGGGGGGGTACCTGCAAGGCACTCCGATGCTAAAGTCAGTGGGAGTACGAGCAGATAATAGAGTTGAGGTTAGAATGATGAATACCTGACCCTCTGGAAAAAGAGGGTATTTATAGCCCCCAGCGCTGGGCCAAGGTTCCTTCATTGGGCCGGGCGGATTTGGCCCAATGGAGGAACTGCCAGGTTCTACGTGGGTAGTGGGGACCAGCACGTGGTCCCCTTCCTGGATGTGCTGCGTGAAGTGCGGGCGGACGGAGACGCGGTCTTTCCGGAGTATCGTTGGGGCAACGGTGGACTGAGTCTGCTCTAGCCAGGTAGCTCGAGACCATGTCGAGCTGCGCAGCACGGTGCCGAGCTCGATGCCAAGACCTCGAGCTGAACAGCGAGTGTCGAGCTGGACGTCAGGACACAGAGCCGGACGGCAGGGTGTCGAGCATGACTTGATCGCGTGGGGCTGGACATCGAGATGTCGAGGTGGACATCAGGGTGTCGGGCATGGACGCGACCCCCTTTGCCCAGTGTGATCCTTAGTGAGTCCCTTTGGACTGGGCCTTAGTAATGCTTTTGGGCCTGTCGGGCCCAGTCCAGAACAATTTTCATTACAAATTTCCATACTTAGATGCTTTTTGATAAAACTTTTATATCATTCTAAACGCATCATTGAGCACTTAGAGAGTTTATGATGTTGTTATTTCATATTCGAAAGGGAAGAAGACTTTAGTCATTTGATTAAGTCATGTCATTTCTACCAATCTTCTTATATAAATTATTGTTTTATTATAACTTCCTAAGTATCAATGATTGTTTGATATTAGGTGTCTTTGCCTATCATCTAAGATTGTTGGAGATAAAGTTACAAGAAAAGGGAGAATTATTTTCTTTTCTTACGGAATAAGTTTCAAGAGAATTGTTCTTGATAACTTAGTTAGAGTCTTGTTTAGGAAGATCTAACAATAATAAAATCTCTTACATGTGGTAAGGAGACTAGATGTACTCTCGGATTGTGAAGGGAACTAATATAAATTTACGTTGTTCTTTACTTTCTGCATTTTATCGCTTTTATCGCCTAACCTAACCAGAGAAAATAGAACCAATATTCACAAAACTGGATAAAGTTTTAAAGTCCTAATTCACCCCCTCTTAGGCGCACTTCATACTTACAATTTTAATCAATATTTACATAATCTCAAATTCTATTTTTGGACCAATCCTTAAAAAATTCAGATTAAAATTTTCAGATTTTGCGTTCATATTACATAAACAAAACAAGTTATCGCAATGGTCATCATTGGTAGACATGCACATTACCTATAATTTCTGTCTATTAGTGTCTTTTGATGCCAAAATACAATAGGATTGTGTTTACAGTGAAAATCTTGAATAAGAATGCAAGAAATATTTGGATGAGTTTAAGGAAATTTGTTGTGATCATGAAGAATACCATATGCATGGTTTACACACAAGGTGATGCAAATTTTGTTTCCCACTCAAATTAGATCGAATTTCAATTGTCGAAGGGTGTGTTTGGTGATTTTAATCACGACAAATATTTACTTGCATTGGATGCATTTCCGATGAAGAAATTTATTGATTATGGTATTTTTCTAACCTTGGATACATTAGGATTTTAATCTTTGAACAATGTAAATGATATTTTTGAATTTCCATTAAATTTTAGAGAACTAATAAGGATGCAATGAGTATCCCAGAAATTATTTTATGGATTTAAGAATAAGAAATAAATTTATAAATTTTTGGAGGGTGAACAAAATAAATAAATAAAAAAAAGAGGAGATTTTGTTTTACCACCCCATTTATACTTGACACACTCTCAATTTTTGACATTTGACTTAAATATCCGTCATTTTTACACTAATAGGGTGTTGAAAAACTTTTCTCCTCGCGGGAAAAATTTGGTATGCCAATCAAAAAATCAAGTATGCATTTTTATCGAAACTTTAAAAAAATTAGATAAAACCATTTTAATTTCTATATTTTTAAAAAGTTTGATAGTTCATATCATGCCTATATAAAAACGAAGTCAACAATCAATGCTATCAGATTTTCTTTTTTAATAAATCATACGTGTTTTGTAATTTTCCAAAATTTTCAAAAATCGAATAGTCCATATGAGATGGACAAATAAAAAACAAAGTCAACAATACTATATTTTTTAATTTTTGTTTTGTATTTTTTTAAAAATTCGAAAAACTATAATAAAATCATAATTTATGTTTTAAAAATCTATGAACTTATACCTCATATTTTAACAATACGGTATAAAAATATGAAAATTTATATAGGATTTAAAAAAAAGGTATAAAATCAAAATTTTTGAAAATAAATCATAATTTTACACCGGTTTTTAAAAATAGGTGTAAAATCATACCATTTTTAAAAAAATACAGAAAAAACTAAATAGAAACTCATAGAACAAGAATTTTTTAAAAAGTTATATATGTTAACTAAAAAAATTCAGAAAATTAAGATTTTTCAAAAATGCTAATTTTTATTATGTATTTTAGTAAAATTGTATGTAGTGGGGGTGTCAAGTCAAAAATGAGGTGGCAAGACAAAATCTAAAAAGAAAAGATTGGATTTTAATTTTAAGCCCAACCCACATCCTTTTCTGAATAGGCCCATCAGCAGCTACCGCTTTGCCTCTGTACCAATCAGAAACAAGTTGGATAAGAGTCGCACTGAACCCAACTGGCCGCCGGCAAACAGTGCCGGACTTGGCCGTCGGAGAATTTACAACCGCCCTAGCTCCGATCCGCACCGCACCGCACAGCACCTAGATTGCGCGGTAAATAAAACAGCATAGATGATAGATTCTTGAAAGTTACTATTTATTTCTGTATATACGCGATTCAAATCTCTTCTATTCATCCTTTCTTTCTTCTTTTGTGTACAGAACTGAGAGATTTTACTGGAATTCAAGAGTTCCCGAATCACCGGTAACATTCTCTCTCGATTTTTACTTCTCGTGATAACAATCGGTTTGATTGCTTAATATATGCTGCATATAGTATGCCATGTGTTCAATTCAACCCTAGGGTAGGAGACTGATGATGTTGTTATATATTTCTTCTGGATTTTTCTTCTTGCTTGGTTATTGACATGTTGCTAACTTCCGTGTTAATAAGAATTAAGTTTGAAGTTTCCGAGCATCATAAATTAATGGATAAAAGGGTGATTCAAATCAATGTGTTGTAAGTTAAGATTCTACGTAAGATCGGGTGGGGGTTGAAAGATCGTAACTCGAGAACTATAGCACGAATCATAAGATATTGCTAATAGGGAAAAAGTATAGTTACATGTATAATATATAGTTATAGTTATAGTTATAGTTATATATGCACATGCGTAATTTTATCGCAGACGAATAAAGTAGCGTATAAATCAGGACATTAAATTAGGTTCGTAAGTTCGTACTTCGTAACTGTAAATTCATAACGACAAGTTAATAAATAATACACAGAAGTAATATAAAAACAAAATGAAGAGGGAGGAGGCTCCATCGCAGTCACTGGCTGAGGAGGGTTTAAGAGGCAACTCGCTTTCGCTGGCAGAAGTGGATTTGTTTTGGCTCTGAGTCTGAACGGAGAACGCGCGAGGAGAAGGAAGATGCTTTTATTTCTGTTTCAAATTTGGAATCTGTTTTTTAAACCCGACCCGAACTGCTTCAATTTTAATAAACTAGTTAATTTATGTGGCTGAAAATGGACCCAGATTAAGAAACAGATCAAGTGCAACCAACTTGCAATTCCGCCACAACCCGTGCCATATTTGCGTGATCCCATCACGTCCAATCCCAAAGGCATTACGGCATGCTAAATATAATAATTCTTGAATCCAGTATTATTGAATATCCGCCATGGAGGCGCGACGGTCGATACTAATGGAGGTTTTTGTGCCGGTCACAATGGTAAATATCGACCAACATTGCTGTTTTTTCCCGCCATAATCCGCTATGACGGCGCTACAATACAAAGCATCCAGTATGGCGGATTTATGGCTTTCCACCATGGACCACTATACGCCATTGGAAACACTGCTTGAATTTTAAGATGGTGTGATCCCCCACACTCCAACTTGCGATCCCATCAACATTAGGGTAAATCTTGATATGAGAAGAGTTGCAAATGAATTTATGATGGCTTACCGAGTTTGTCTAGTTTGCTTGTGTCCAAGATCAGCATAAAACAAAAAATTGGAGAATTTTGGAAGGGAATTGAAAGAAACAATAGTATGTATGGGCTAAATTTGAATAGAAAAAGATATTAAAGAATCAAGTTCGAAGAGGCAAAAGTGTAATAATGATTTTATTTTTTCTACATTGAAACTAGTGTTTTTAAAACTTGATTTGTCATTGAATTACAAAGATATGGTTCAGGCTTCGCTATTCAGTGATCGAATTACCGATGATTAAATATATGTTTTTAATTATGTATGAGTTAAAGGGACATCCACAGATAGTGTAAATTTGTTTTACATTGACAACCAATAGGAACTCATCATTCGCCACTTCATATCAACAATTTCAGTATAAACTAGGAGTGAGATGACATGGCAAAATAGTGGACTCTCATTTGATGTATCTGTAAAACAAATTTACATTGATAGTACATGTTCTTTGAACTAAACCGAAAATGTCAAGAAATATTGCCAAGTGAAAAAACTTAAGTAGCATAAATAGATAGTATAATCATATGTCCTTTTCATCAATTCAAACTTTTGTTCTTCCACCTCCAACTCCTCATCTCCATTAGGCACAGCTGTAGAGAGCCTGTGGATAGCAGGATGGCCACAATTTGTGGCTGCCAAAACCACCACCTTTGAAGGTGGTTCCCAGAGAGATGGCATCGCACCCGAACCCTACCACTCACGCTTTTCCGCTATAGTGGCGCTATTGACATCCTTCTTTACAAACCGGTTAAGTAAGCTTGAGTGAGGTCCAATCCAAATTTTAAGAAAGATACATGCAAATTCGTAACTTATTATACATATCTTTAATATAAACAGTTGACTTTCTGGCGACACACAATACTTTTTTCTCCAAGGTGAGAGCTCACTTTAGAAGAGGGAAACCAATTTTCTTACTTGCCAAAGTCAAGTTTAGATGTTATTATCTTAAATAAATTTTAAATTAGGAGCACCAAATTGAACTTGAAAGGGTATGAAATGTGAGCCTTTGAAAATCCATAATCAACAATGATTAACAAGACTTAATACGTAAGAGGGTTTGACCCTATGTGCTATCTTCATCCTCCGCTTGCCAGACACAACATGACGCACCAACTTTTTTTTAGAGGAATTTGCTGTCCGTGATTGTGACTGAACTCTTAGTTAGATTGCCAATTTTCTATTGTTCGCACTTCCATGGTTTTTCCTTGTACTTGCATATGAGAATTTGGTTTAGTTGTAAACTTATAAGATAGGTAAGTATATAGATTCAACACAAAGGGCTACCGATAGATGCTTGCTTGTGCCCCACTCCAAGTGTGTGAGTTTCATCTTGTAAGTTGTGAGTGGCTCGGTTATTCTTACTTTCTAATGCTATATTTGGATCAACCTTCTTTCTCATAAGTAATTAAATTAGGATCGCATGATGTTTTTAACACTTCCCTTTGACCTGTGCAACGGACTGGAATTATACTTCTAAGGAAATATACCGGTAAGAAACATTTGTTTCCAGTTTTTCATGTTTGGGCTAATCTAATCCATTAAAAGTATCCACTATCCACGAACATAATAGTGCAACATCGCTAGAGAGTATAATATTAATAATCATTTTGGTCCTTGAAGGATAAGGGATTAGTCAAATTTGTATAAAAATCACTCAAGTAGTTCGTAAGGGTCTGTTTGTGAGTTAGGCGGGGAGGGGAAGGAGAGCTTTTCAAAAAAAAGAAATTTAAAGAAAATATAGAGAAATCTTTAACAAGCCGGTTTTGCAAGGATGGGTTAGGTCAAATTTTAATTCTAATATAGTGTCAAGAGTCTATCGATTTGGGCCACCTGCCATTTATATTATGTGCACCTAGCCCAAGAGTGCTGGGCATAAGAGGTTGCATTGGAAAAACCAAGTCCAACACAATTTGGGCCACCGTCCGCCACCGTTTATGCACCAAGCTCGATATTGTTGGGCATGAGGGGGTGTACGGAGAAAAACTCAAGTACTCGAGTCCCACATTGGTTAAAGATAGAGTCTAATAAGAGTGACATCTCTCATCTTACAAGTCGATTTTGTAGGGATGAGTTAGGTCAAACTCTAATTCTAACATTTTAATATATATTTGACATTTTAACCTTCTTTTGAAAGAACAGTGTGAAACACCCCCCCTAAATGATGACTCCATCTGCACATTTGGTTTTAAATTAAAACCTCGAGTTAATATTTGCAGAGATGCACATGTGGGGTTTTAAGAGTTAATTGGGATTCACATATGGCAAGATTTTACTCATCTTCGTCAAAAAGATTAATAATTTCTTCTTTCCCCATTTTATTAAAAAATGAAACTCTAACTTAATCTCAAAACTCCTGCTCTATATCTAATTTCCTTCTTCAATCGTAGAGTGATACTCTCTAACTACTAAAAGTTGAATTTGGAATGAGCATAGATTGATAGATGATAATCGTGGAGTGAAAATTCATTTTTTTTCCATCATCAATTGGATTCCCGCATCTTGATCCAAGAGGCCTTTTGTATTCTATTTATATTTTCCAGCAACAGAAGGGCAGGGAGTGTAGTAAAAACGAATAGTAAATCTATAGTAATCATTAAGAGTCTCACATCGGACAATATATGGTCTGAACATGTCCTTATAAGTGGGGGCAATCCTCACCTTACAAGTCGGTTTTGTAGGGTTGAGTTAGGCCTAACCACATTTCTTAACATGGTATCAGAGCCTCGTTTAAGATTCGGTGGGCCACCTGCTATCAGGTTTCCGCTATCGGCTCACCCACCATTTATTTCCACGCTCCCGATGTTCAGTCCTGGTCGTGAGGGGGTGTGTTAAGAGTCCCACATCGGACAATATATGGCCTGAACACATCCTTATAAGTGGGGGCAATCCTATCTTCACAAGCCGGTTTTGTAGGGTTAAGTTAGGTCCAATCACATTTCTTAACAGTAATTACTAGTTAGAGCAACTATAATTTATCATTAGGTACTAGTTGACGGTGGAATTAGTCGGTCGTTAGACCAAATACCGGGTTTTCAGAAAAATTAAAAATAGATAATGTAACCTTAGGTAGCATTTGCTAAATAATTTGGAACAGAGCAGACTCGATTAAAAAAAGTAAAACAAGTACTGCATTTTGATTTCAATGAAAAAAGGTGGAACCAAAGAGAAGAGAGCAAAATACGCAGTTCCATTCCGTTCTGTTTGTATGCCATGTGCTTCCAGTATCTATATTCATCAATTACATGCCCCCACACTCATATATTTGCGGTTCCTATGTGACCTCATTCATCCTTCTCAACTGCTTGAGTTTTGCTTTGCTTTTCATGTTTAGCTATTTGAACTAGTTGCTTTCTGTGCAGTTTTGTCTGCTCTTTTCAGTCACTTGGGCCCATTAGAGGGTGCCAAACTTTTCACAATCCCAAGCCCCTGTTTTGTTATTTTTGGAATCATAACGACGTATCTTAACTTTTTTGCGATAGATCTGATACCTCTTTTGTTGGATCATGATATTTAAGTATTTCTCTTACATCTAGCCTTTCTTGCCAGCAATGGCTTGAAACAAACTACCAAATTTTGAAAAAGGGATAATTCATCAAGGCTTAATTTCTCCCCTAGAAAGCCATACCAGAGCACCTACATAGCAGCTTGGTACTGAACATGTGGTTCAACCCAAAGATTAAACAAAAGTTTTCTTCCTAGATAAGAATACAGACAAGTAACAACACTTGTAATCATGTTGAAGCTTCTATGAGTATATAATAACAATGAAATTTTATTTATTATTGTTGTTCAGAAAGTTGTGTTACTCCGTTATATAAAATATGCAAGTCCATTAGTCTATGCCATAATGTGGCGAGTAATATAATGTTTCTTAGGCAGTGTTGTCGATGGCGGAAGGCCAAAAATCTGCCATATAAACACACCATTGCAGCCAAGCCCATCACCAAACTGTCTATGGCGGTTGTCAGAAAATTCCGCCATGCCATTCGCAATGGCGATGCCATGGCTTCCGTAGCACTGTTCTTAAGTACAAACCTTGTGAAAATAGTGGTCTAACGTCCCATTAGAGAAGCAAGTCATCCTAGGCTTTATACATTTTTACCAACATTCAAAAACAGAGTAGGAGCCGATGAAGTTTGATCTTAAACCATACTAATGCAAACAAAAGAAAATATGATCATTTTGGTCTTTATGGAAATTTATAATGTCTGATGTTGTTAAATAGTGGCTATAGCTGCGTTGTGATGCAGAAAAATCTGAATAAATCTCTATTTAATACAAAATGTTATCAGATAGTGATTTATCGGCAGTGTAACACTCATGCGTAACAAACTTTGAACAAATTGTTGTTTTCTGCGATCTGCGGTTGATAACACTTAACATGAATTAACAGACAAAGAAGATACAAACTACTAACAATAACACATAAACGATAATCAAAAACAAAGATCCCTCTTACATAATGTAAACTCACAATTCCGAATTATTAAAACTTAAAATCATTGAAAGCAAATATTGTTCTTAACACTCAGAACTGAACACAGTTAAAATTGTGTACATAATCACAAATTAAACCTGTAAATTCTGATCTCCGCAATTGCGTTGTGAAACTTAAAATATCATCAGGACTTGAAAATTCAAAACAGATGTGGTTATCCTTGTCATCTTGTAGCTGGTAAGTTGAGATCCACTTACACGCGTCAAAATTCATTAGCAACGGAAAAGTGTACCCTCCTGTGTCCACCGAGTGCTTGAGCAGACTTGAAAAATCTGTTGCAGTATGGGCATTGAAAAGGTTTCTGATCAATAAAGTCACCATCTTTGTCATTTCTGCAGTGTGCTTTGTGCCCACCAAGAGCTTGAAAAGATCGGAGCACCTTTCCGCACCTCTCACACTTGAACCTGGTTTGAGAGTCAGCTTCAGCAAGCAACTCACCTCTCCTGCTTCCACTGTCTTCTGCCTTCATTTCGTTGATTTCCTTTATTTTTTGTGCCTTGGCCTCTTCCTTTTGCTGCGCGAATTCGTAAAAATCCCACACTATCCAAGCACCTCGAGGAATTTTAGTTTCACTTATTGGACTTGTTTGTTCTGACAGAGATTTTGTATCGGCCGCCGCATCTTGTTCCTGGAGGCTTTTAGATCTTTTGTGGGTTGGGGTTTGTGGGTAGGACTCAGATTTGTTTTCTCTGGTTGAGCTTGCAGAGATGGCAGACAAGTTGCGTTTCATAGATCCGGAATTCTCTGTGTGTTTTTCTTTGGGATAGCAACTCAGCGAGGGAGCAGATTGAATGGGATGCTGGGTTGAATTGGCTGAATCGTCTTGTACTTGATTGTTAGTTTCAAGCTTTGGAGGAATCGGCAATTTGACGTAGTGAGATCTCATGTGGCCTCCAATGGCTTTCCCACTGGAGAACCACTTATCACAAATCCCACAGACTTTGCCGTTGTTCTCCATAGCTGCTAAAAAACAGTAAAATCCAAAGACTTCCTCACTCCTTTGTTGTGGATAAGTATTTGTTGAATTCAGAATTTTATAGAGGGGTAGGTTACAAGCCTTCCTTATAGGAAAAGGTGAATTCACTTTTGAGTACGCAACCTGTTCCTCGACAAAGATTAATCACTAATTGCGCTGGATATCTTGTACATATTACATGGTTAAGAAAAGGCTTCCTTATACAAAAGGAACAAAACAAGAAAAGGCCGTAATAAATGTAGGAAACAATAGCGTGCAATCACTTTATTCAACATTTGAGTCACTTTTGTGCTTTACTATGAATTTTTAATTTAATGAGGTAATACAAGAAAGATATAATTGAATTATTTAAGATTCTGATTTTGCATTTGCATTTGCATTTAATTTTTCTCTCGAAAGTATATAATAAATATTTCATTTTATTTTATTTTATGTTACGTAGCGATACTGCAATCTTTTTACTGACAATAAGCATTTAGCAGGATACTAAAAAAGCTACAAATTGAGGAAAACATTTGCCGTTTCATTTCAAAATATTTGATCTATTATTTTTTCTCTATTTTAACTATGCTTGATACTACAAATATCCAATATCATACTTGATAAGAATTTATGTTTGTTAAGTTACAAACATATGCATTAAACATTAAGTTTAGTGATAAGGAGCTTTATATTTCAAGGACAAAATGAAATATAAGCAGTGTTTGATATACATATAAAACTGAAATTTGCTATATTTAGCTCAAGTTATGCATGTTTATACTTTACCATTGATTCCATGATGAGTATTTCTTAGAGAGATAAGGTTTTGGCAAACTTATTTTGAAGAAAATATCTTTGATTCCACGGCCTCTCCATTTTTGTACATATAGAATTGTATTGGTTGAAACGCACCGCTCATAACAGTAATATTGTAGGTTGGAGCCCTACTAAGCCTATCAATTTTTAGCATGCATTTTCTGTCTTTCATTCATGTCTTAATAAGAGCTGAGACTTGGGAGCACATTCATTGCAGTATCCCCAAATCCATTCTTTGTATCAATACTCAAAAATAAATAAAAGAGAATATGGAGGTTGTAGGAACATAACTTGTGCCTTTTGACCAATGCATTACTCACTATATCGTGTAATTTTCTTTGTCCTTCCTACCTCTGTCACAAGCCATAAGAGTCGACACAATAGTTGGAGCCACACAATCTGTGAAAATTGAAGTTTAGTGCATCGTAAATGATTTACTTTCATTTTTTTGAAAATTTGATCTTTTAGAGAAAAAGAATACTATTATTTGGATTTTAAACTTATTTGTGAGAATTTTGGAAAGTTATAGGTATACTAATTTTTAAAAAAAACTAGTGAGTACATTATTTTGGTTTGAACTATTGATGTTCAAACTTGTGGGATTCATTAGCAAAATACACGTGTATTTGTTGTATAAGGTTGCATGTTGTTGATTACTATATTATGTAATAGTGGAATTTCAAAATATTGAGCATTGTTCACTACACCCACCCTATGTAGTACTCTTAAATCCTATGAAAATTAAAAATGTCTTTTATCACTGTTTGAGAATTGAAATTCGGATGCACCAAAATTACAACAAGTCAACAAATTTTTTCATCAGAAACACACCTTCATCCAAGTTAAAAATTAGTTTGGATTTTAGAACTCGAATACACCTTTTAGATTTTGGAATTCGAAAACATCATGCAGAAAGATGAATGTTGTATTACCTTGCATGGTAGTGCTCTTCATCATCATAACACAAAAAACGTTGAACCCTTAAAAATCTCCTTGCATTTTTAATTAAGATTTTCATTTGCAAATAACATTCAACTGAATGACATTTTTGAATGACATTAAAATGTGCAAAATCATCTAAATTACAGATAATATACATTTATATTGGTCATATAGATAATATATTTTTCTTCCTGAACCATTGTTTACCGTGAAATTTAGTAAACAACCGTTAGTCTTTTTTTAAAAGTTTATTATTTAAATAAGCGACTTGTGAATCCTAGAACACAGTGTTTAAATTCTTCTGAGTTTTTTGTACAAGTTTGTGAGAAAAGTAAAGGATTTTGACGTATGCAAAATCTTGGTATTAAAGTAAGATAAATAAAAGTAAAATTGCTGGAATAGAAAAGATAAATCCAATGTAAAAGACTTCCATTGAATGAAATCGATGTTGGAATACGTACATTGTATTCAATTGGCTCGTTTCTCGCTTCACTTGGATACTTTGAGCATAGTGAGTTTTTGTAGTAAATTTAACACATAATCTTAATACTAGAACTCCTATTTATACTAATACTAAAATATATGTCTATAACATATTTCTTCTTTGAGATCGACGCATCTTTGCTTCATGTATTTTGCCCTTGGATTCGCCTCCACGTGTACTTTCAGATAAGACTGAAAAACATTTATATTGCTTTTCTCCCGCCTGATCTATTGACGTTGAAGATGCATGCCAATCATTCCGTCGAAAACTTTGACTGTATTAATTGTCGTTGAAGTATTCTTGAGAAAAACGCCAAGTCCTCATTTCTTATGCTTGACATTTCGACTAGATGATCTTGATAAGGTTATGTCAAATATGCTCTTCTAGTCCTCCAAATTTCATTTAGTTTTCTCTGAACTCTTTCTTATCTCATTGAGTTTATTGTGGTCGAAAATCTCAACTAACAACTATGAACGCATAATCCATAGATTGAAATCTAAATTCTTATAGGATTGTCCAAAAACTTAAATCTAGATTTTTGTAAGATTGATCGGGAAATTGAAATTCGAATTTGTTTAATGTTGATTGAAATTGTCTTATTTTTTATTGCTGTAGTTATGGTGTACTCTGATGTTGTGATCAAACACCCTGATATTGTGATCAAACATCTTGATGTTGTGATTAAAGCTAATGCATCTAAGGAGAATAAGTTGTCCATGATTTATCAATAAACACGATTTTACTTTACATGAACATATGCTTGAATGAGTATGCACCAAAGTTGTCAAATTAGGGTTTAACATTGTTATCGGTAGGTCGAATTTTAGTTCTAATAGAAGACAAATATTTGTTACGACGAGATGCGAAAGAAATGACCAGTATAAAGAACATATTCAAAAGTTGAAACGTGATGACACAAGAAGAAGGAAATATATATGTGCTACGAACAAAGTGTTTGGGGATGGTGACAAAACAAATGTAGGAGGTAGATTTAAGCTTGCGATAGAGACCCACAAAATCAAGGGTGAAGACGGGAGAATGGTCAAATCTAGTTAGATTTTAGAAAGCTTAATGGATCTCTGGAATGTTATAATAGATTATTCTATATATGAGTTATATGTTGAATTTGTCATACAATTTAAAGGGTTCGAGCAAAATATTTGGATTTCTTGAATTATGTTGAAAACACTGTATTAGAGCGAATTGTTTGTGCATGAATTGATTTGATAAGACAATGTGGAAATACTTCAACTAATAGAGTTGAATCTGCCCATGCTACATTAAAAAATTGGTTTGGAAATAATAATGAGAATTTTTGTAAGGGTTAAGAATCAGTGAATCAAATTATTCAAAATCAACGTAATAGCAAGACAAATATCATTTATTTGCAGTGTCATAATATTAGAACATAAAATTCAAAGCCAATAGTTTGTATTCACACTTGGTTGACAATATATTTCGAGTGAGATTAAACTTTATTTATCACAAAGTTGTTTGAGTAGAGAAAATAAGTATAAATAGCTCTAAGTGTGGTTGTACACTTGGAAGAATACACGGTCATCCGTGTGCTTGTTAATTTTTAAAGAAGATAAAAATTGATAGACTTGTATGTATGGATGAGGTACACACGCATTGAAAAAGGCTATGGTTCGATGATGGTGGTGTAATCAATGAGGGTAAATCTGATATATCTATTATGGCATAATGTGAGGTGATTCAACAGAGATTTTTGAAAGTTGATTATAACATGAAATTGCACGTCAAAGAGAAATTGTGGGAGATAGCATATCATGAAATGACATATATGAAACCATCTGCAGACCTGGTAAAAAGCAAGAGTCCTCCTAAGAATGTCAGACCAACACATGTGATAATTCAATCAAGCGGTCTTTATCCTATTTTGAATATGTCGACTCATTTAATATGAATTCTTCAATTTCACAATTCAAATTTTATTTTTATCAAAGGTGCTCACATCAATAAACCATCGCATTCACTACCTTTAACTAAAATAATGTTGTTAGGGGTTAAATTGTGTTAATATTTAATATAATTTAGTGATGCCTTTTAATTCGATTCATTGCATTTTCATGTTAAAAGCCCTTGCTTTAGTATAAATAATCGCATTTTGGTTTTATTGAGTAAACATTGTATAGATTAATCATTTTGGGCTCAATTTGTATGATTGTTCACATTATTGAAGCATTGAGCATTGAAGGACTAAAGAATGACTTCAAATGCAATTTTTGGATGAAAATCAAAATAGCAAGTTGGGTTTAGTAGTGGAAGGAGCCAAGGTAGAGACTTGCACGCTAAGTGTTGGATTTTCGCGCTTAGCGCGAGTTATGACGGTTTGATGTTTTAAATGGGAGCGCGCTTAGCGTGCTATATGGGGTTAAGCGCGGTCTGCGACTTTTGGAGTGTCTATAAATAGATTCAATTAGATATTTTAAGATCATAACCACTTTCCAGAGATAGAAATATCCCAAATACACTATAGAAGTGAAGAATTGAAGTTGGATTACGCATCAATAGTCGAGGAATCAACATTGATGCTTGTTCATCTTCTCACCTTTATTGTGAATCAAGCTATCATGTTTATGGATAATTAAACTCATAGTGTCAAGATTAGAGATAGTTAACTAAAATAGTATGTATTAATCTTAATCCTTTGTATGTGAACAAATTTATGATCAATACAGATGTTAATCTTTGTTTCATGTTATTTTATGGTTTGAACTATTATTGACAAATATCT